CGTAGAATTTGCAAAAGGGAAAACGTGCTCATTATTCTCTCTCCACTGACTAAAACGTGATCAGAGAGTACGGGGGGAGCAGGTTTGTGATACCTTTGGATGCATCTGCTGTTTATTCTTAATTCTACCTCTACCCCCAAAGCATGTAGAAAAGATACTAAGTTACTTGCTTGAGACCTAGTGAAATTATTTTCTAGGGGACATAAGAGTGTGATTTACCTGCCATGAAGTCAGGTGGTTGACGATAATGACATTTGTTCCTGGTGCCCATCAGGAAGCCTAGAGGTTGGGGGAGGGTGGTGGGGGGGCGGAATAGTGGATGGCAGATCCTGGAAAGGGTGGCTGTGTTGGGAATGGTCCACATGCCTAGAAATTTTTTTTCTGTTTTTCAATTTTTAATTAGATTTATTGGGGTGACATTGGTTAATAGGGTCATATAGGTTTCAAGTGTACATTTCGATGAAACAAGATTTGTGAATTGCACTGTGTGCCCACCACCCAAATTCAAACCATCTTCTGTCTCCATACATTAGGCCTTCTCCATCCTCCACTGAACTCCCTTCCTTCTGGTAACCACCACACTGCTGTGTATGTACACGCATTTCAGTTTTATATCCTGCATATGAGTGAAATCATATGGTTCTTAACTTTTTCTGACTGACTTACTTCATTTAGCCTAACATTCTCAAGGTCCATTTATGTTGTCACTAATAGCAACATTTTGTCTTTTCTTCTGGCTGAGTGGCATCCACTGCGTATATGCATGCCCAGAGTTTGTGGGCATAAAGGATGTTTCAGTGTTTCCCACACACCAGACTTAGGCCCTGAGGGGATCTGAAGAGCCTACAAAACCTCACACAAAAGGGAAGCTCTGCTTTGGGCATCAGTTGGGCCCAGAAAACACATTTTATTTCCATTGACATTTCCTGCCTCTTCCTCTTCCTTCCTCTCTCTGGACCCACCCCACTGGAACGTGAGGAACACTAAACTCATTCCTGCCTGCAAAACTCCCCAGCATGGGGGATAAATGTATTTATCCTAAATTAAACTGGGACTTTTAATTGTTACATTGTATTAAATAATTTAATTGCCGGATTAAGATATACGTGTGCAATTTAAAGGAATTACAGGATGGTCTGCTAATTAAAATCGAGCGAATGTCCTGTGGTATGCTGCGGTTCCTGTACAGTGACAGGGAACAGCTCCTCCAGCGACAACCTGGAAAGGGCCAGGAGCAGGCACACGAATCCCAGCTCAATCAAAAATTACATTCATGCTTATCCAACCTCCTAGCTACATCCATTTACTTCAGGTGCTCTAAAATACAACAACAGCAACAAAAACGGTACCTTAAATGTAGAGTAAGATAAGGTAGCATTTAATTAAAGAATTGATCAGTAAGCAAAAATTATATAATTTGATTGATTGGAAACAGGCTTTTCCAATTCTCCTTCTCCAATTAACATACAGATGTAGACGTATTCATGAGATACATCTATTTTCTATAAAATCATTCAGACCCAGATGAGACCCCCAGTTTAGACCTCAGGTGATAGAGCATCAGGTTTGAGGATGCGGTTTCTGGACTGTGTCTTCCATGGACAGTGACTGAAATCACTCCCTAACCCTGGAGAAGAGCGGAAAGGGAGAATCAATCACAGGTGAGGGCAGGCACATTCGCAAAATTGAAAACAACTTTGCACTGGAATGCCTGCCCTCTGCTCCTGGGATTTGTGCTGCCTTCCGCCTGGCGAAAGGTAACAGAGGAAGCTGAAAGCAGCTCTGAAGTGGCAGAATGTCTGAAGGACAGGAGGGTGTGCTGAGTGAGGGGCTCACACTGCTGCCTGGCCAGGTGGGGCTGCCTCATGCGGAAGGCAGCGGGTCTTAGACTCCTTTGGAGATTTTCCAAATTAATCTTTTACTTCACAGTCTCTCAGTTATCAAGTTAAGCTGTGCCTCTTAGAACAAAGATAAAATTGGGAATTATAGAGCAACATGATTATAGATGCTCAAGTTGTAGCAGTGGAATCTGTGGTTGGCTGGTAGAGAGACATGATGAGATGTAGATTCAGTTTCAAACACTCACACGTGCTCACATGCACAGCAAACACAACAGTGTGTGTTTGTGTTTGTACATATAAAATATGTAAGTACATGTATATGCAAAAAAATCTACCCAAGCAAAGAAGGGTGATTTTAATCTCTGTGCAGAGAAAATGCAGGCCTTTGAAGTACCAGCTTCCAGAGGTGAAGAGAGAATGAACTAAACTCTCAAGCTGTCACCCGCGCCCCCAGGTTGGAAATGACCCAAACACCAGGGAGCCCTTCATTCACAAGAGACATGTTCATCAGGAAGGCCCGTTAGCCCACCACCCCAGCACATTTGTTGATTTCAACAGCTGGCAGTTTTTGATCTGATAGAGACTTATTCCAGTAGGCTAGTTTCTCTGCCTCCTCCCAGGATCAGGAGGAGAAATGACACAGAACAAAGAAAGTTTCTTACCTGGGGATTTGGGAAAGAAATGCCAAGATCGAAATTCCTTTGGCTCCTCAGGTGTTCTCAACAGTAAAAATACCATTAAGACTCTTACTGCTGGAGGGAAAAAAAGGCAGGTAAGGGGTCTAAACGAAGGGCTGGAGGCTCTCAGAATTCCAACCACACAAACATAGTAATCAGGTCCCAGACTTGACCGGGATCCAGTGTGGAAGTTCTCATTTCCAAGGTCTAGCCTTTAATCCAAGTAATGTTTTCTCAGGTTCTAAGTTTGATACTATGGCGGGGACCACAGTGAGCTATGGTAGATATATAGATCTCAATCAAAATATATAGATATAGTATTTGCATTTAGTCTTTAAAAAATTTTCATCCACTTTTATGGTCTTGTCTGTATTTTTGGAAATAGATTTAAGAATATTACATTTCTTAGACTCTCCTTTCCCCAGGCTTCCACATGTAGCCGACATTCTGCCAGTGAAGCAGTATTATGAGATTTGGGAGGGGCAGGTAGGCTGAATCCATTTCTTACGGTGGACACAAAGGCTTCCCAGACAGGAGTCTTGGCAAATTCCCTTGGGTTCTGGGAGCATCCCTTTCCACAGGGCTCTAGAGGAGCTGTGACATCAGCAGTGGCCTCTACAGGTCTCCGAGCTCTCAAAGTTATGGTATACGTAGACCTGTGCTCCTCCAGCATTCTAACAGTGTTCAGGTACAATCTCCTATAACAGGAAAGAATGTAATAAAGAGACCATCTATAATGTGAGAGTGTCTATGGTGATTTCTACTTCCTGAATGAACTTTGACCTTACAGTGGCTCTTCACTATCTGCGTCACTGCAAATATCTCATTCGGGAGCCCTCAAAAACTTCCTCGAACACACAGGAGAGAATAGGGAACCATGGGTACTGTTCAGATAGGAACTTCTTTACTATTACACAGAAAAGGAACTGAAAATCTTTTTTAAAATCTCCCAAATTTAGTAATCTCATGAGGAAAACCAATCAATGTTTTAGGACTAAACAGTATCATAAGTTGCCAAGCAACATCTTGAGTTAAAGGTGCTATTACAACATGTAAAATATTTTTCCGAAAAATTCCTCTGATTGCCATATATTTTTTGAGCTCCTTGTAAGAATGAGGCATTATGGCAGCACAGGGCAGGCACAGAAAATATGTACATGGTTTTTCTCTGAACGAGGAGGTGACAAAGCCTAAGTCATAGGCAGAGACTGATACTGTAGAGCTGTCCTCCGGCCCAAGCCCCTGCCTCCAGGAAATGTATCCCTGAGAAATTAAAGAATAGAAGTGTGCTGTGGGCCTCCTCCAAGTGACCTAGAAGCCAGTGTCAGAGAATGTTCAAGGCCCAGATGTGATCAGATAACCACTAATGCACAGGGAGTTGGCCCCCACGATTTGTGAGGCAGCTGCAGGGCAGGATAAGGCCTCAGCCCAGCAGTGCAGAAATCCACCTGAGTGTGTGTGTGATGACTGATGTTAAACAGGAAACTCACCATCTGATGGGCTGCCTCATTGCCAGGTCTTTCTTCACTGAAAGTATTTGGATTCCAACCCTCTCTATATGTGGTTTAATTTTCCCTTATATTACAATAAAGGGGTTAGAGTGTCTTAATTTTCAGTACTCTCAATAGTAAACATCAAAATTAATTCTTTGTATCAGAACTTCCATAATCTTACGACATGATGGAGTGATGGTAAAGCCCTCCTGTAGGTTGGTCTCAGCATTCCCAGTAAAACAGCCCTGCCCAGTTTACTTCAGCCTATTCATCCACTTAAGCCCTCAAATGAGGTGTGTCCCCAAAAGTCTACTCCAGTCTCTGATCATATTTAAGATGGTAGGCATTAGTAAAGGTAGCCCCTTAACAGGTCACTGTCTCCAGTACCCACTACCCACTTCCCAAGGGGTAGCTTCCATCCCCCTCCATCTGGGGAGTGTTGACATTCAGTGTTACCTAAGGGTAGGACAGTGCCTGGGGTCCTGAAGTCTTAAGCAGGGCTGGCTATCTTGGAGCCCAGGACACTGGAGGAGAAGCCCAAAGCAATGAGAAGCTCCTTAAGTGAAGCTCTGCCACCCAATGCCTCCAAATTCAGGTATTTTCCATAGCCTAGAAATTTACCTTTTTATAAAAGGACTTGTTGTCCCTTGAAAGAAACTCTCTAGTTGTCACAGCACAGAGGCATGATCTGTGATCAACCCTCACTTCAGGTTGTTGCACTGATTGTGTTCTCACTCACATGCTTCAGGCATATGCCTTTCTAGAACTTAAAGGTGGAGGAGTGTGAGTGATTGCCTAACATTCTCAAAAACTTGATTTTTTTTAAGTGCTTGTTTGATTAAGAACTTTACATTTTTACCTATCTGCTTCTTAGGCCCTTTACAAGAGTCTTTTCCTTAGCAACAAATATGTCATCTCAAAACACTTTGCTGATTGGCTGTAGCTCAACTGATTTGAATTTCAATCAGTCAGACAACATCACACCCTACATTCTCTTTTCTTTTATTCTTGTCTATTCTGCCCCACTGGAGCTCTATAGATCCCATTAAAGCACTCAGGAAGAAAATGGCCATAACTGGAGTTCCAATGTCAGGATTTTTCATCGCAGTTTTTCTGGCGAGCCTTCAGGAATTGTGGGCTATCAAAGGTAAGTGCTGAGAGAATCGTAAGTAGGAACAATAAGCTCTGAGAGCACTGGAGGAATGAACAGTGGACGTTTGCAGGACAATATTTGGAGTGTAGGAATGGTTTAATCAGTATTCAGTGGGTCTAAATCTAAAAGTATAATAAATAGTAGATTGAAGAGTTCTCTTTCTACCACAATTTGAAGTAAGTTAAATTTATTTTAGAGGAACAAAACTGAGTTGTATATTGGTCAATGCCATCAACTTTGAGGTAAGCCAAACTTAAGGGAGAAGTATTTTCTGACAGGCATTAACAAGCTGCCTTTTGGGGCTTTAATTTATTTTTCTAGAAAATTAGTAAAATTAAAAACCTCATAAAATTTTGTGAGGATTAAAGGAGAAAAATATGAGACATTCTTAACTGAATTCATGGTAGCTATTCTTTGGCATGTGAATCTCATCAGAATATTTTAAACAATGACATTTATTTTGAAGATCACTAGAAAGGAAAGTCACCAAAAAATAACAATCTACCCAAAGGATGGGGAAGGACATGTATGCTGATGGAACTTGCATTTAACTTACTGCCCTTGGAACAGTGATAGGCCTTGTATATTGGATCTTACAATGATCTTCAGTCACTGTTACTCAGTGATTTTTCCAAGAGAGCAGAAACATGAGTGAGGAAGTGAAGAGGTTCTGATGTTCTCTGCCATCTGTTTGGCAAACACTGTGTTGTGGTGAAGATGTATTATGGAAAAATAGCTCTCACCCAAGATGACCACCACAGGGGTGGCAGGTAGACTGGGAATAAGTAAAGTAATAACACAACTCCAAGATTCATGATGGCAATAGCAGGTTTTACATTTCTCAGAAAGGGCCATACATGGGGATGCATACCTGGATGCAAGGGAGAGAGGCCTTTCCCTTGGCTTGGGAAGGGACAACTAGAATATCTGTGTGTATGTACTTGCATGTGCACACATAGCTACAAATGCTAAATAAATCCCTGGCTTTATCAATATACAGTCAGACTTTAAAATCCCCCTTTCCTCTACATACACTATGGAGGCTGCATACTCTCCAGTTTCAATTTTCTTATTTCAAATTGATTATTACCTTGGTATAGATTATTCTCAGTATCAACCATAATAGAATAGACCCCATAATGACAATCTCAATGTAAAGAGTTTTCAGATATAAGGGCTCATCACCAAGAGATATCAGCAGTGTGGGTGTAGATCCCGGAAAGTGTGTTACTACAACACTACAAAGTCTCAATCTTAATTTCCGGGGTACCTCAGACCCCAGTTATATTTTCCATGGGTCTACTTCTTAAATACAAAGCAGTTTCTGGTATTTCTTTCACTGACTGGCTTATTTCACTTAGCCATATGATCTCACTTATAAGAGGAATCTAATGAACAAAATAAACTAATGAGCAAAATAGAACCAGAGGCATAGAATCACAGAACAGACTGACAGTGGTAAGCGGGGAGGAGTGGGGGGACTGATTGAAAGCAGGTGAAGGGATTAGTCGAGGAACATATATGAAGGATGACACGTGGACATGGACAATGGGGTGGGGATTGACTATGGAAGTGGGGGGAGGGTTGGGAAGAGGGGGACAAAGGGAGAAATAACTGGAAAACAACTGTAAAACATAAAAATAATAAAGAGAAAGAAAGAGAAACAAACAAACAAATAAATAAATTTCTGGCCCCAAAGGACTTCTTATAGACCTGATGATATACTAAGAAATTACTTACCTTGTCTGATTTAATCTTAAAAACAAATCTATGGAAGAAGCAAAACCACAGAAGAAAATAACAGGAAAACTACATATAAGTAGGTGAAGTAATCTGCTCAATTCACTAGGTAAGTAAGTAGCTGAATAAGAATTCAAAATTTGATTTTATTTCAGAGTTCAGAACTCAATCTTTTAGGAGCTGCTGCTGGATTTCTAAAGTGGGGATCACTCCTCAGCTAGTGATATGAAGACAAAACACAGCTTCAGGAGACTTCGGGTGTTCAGCTCCCATTTCCTTCAGTTCACTGTCTCTAATGCTGCCCCTAATTTCTCCCTCCCCATCTTGTTCAGCACAAACATGCTGCACCTCGGCCTCACCTTCCCATTCACCCCTATTCCCCACTGCTGCTCCGTGTTCCACTGAGCCTACTACCTGTTTCAACCCCCACCCACAACTTGTGGCATCATCCTGGCTCTTCATTTCTCTCTGCTTGTTCCAACCATAACTCCCTTTTTCACCTTTTCAGAGGATCATGTGATCACCCAGGCCGAGTTCTATATGACCCCACACACATCAGACGAGTTTATGTTTGACTTTGATGGTGATGAGATTTTCCATGTGGATGACAAAAAGAAAGAGACGGTCTGGCGACTTGAAGAATTTGGTCATTTTACCAGCTTTGAAGCTCAGGGTGCACTGGCCAATATGGCTGTGGGCAAAACCAACCTGGACATCACAATAAAGCGCTCCAACCACACCCCAAACACTAATGGTACCTCTCCCTGCTGCACTTCTACATGTGGGAATCACAGCTTTAAAATAGATGCCTTAACTCTTTCTGTTATATTATTGAGAATAACTTTCCCTTCCTGGGACCTAACTTTGCCATAAGCAAGCCCTAGATTCTCAGGCTGTGGGCCCTAAAACATCATGGGTTTTTTTCATTTCTTGATATTCTCACATCTTTTCTCTGCCATCCATAGTCATCCACAAAGTTATTGCCCTCCATCTATGTTGGGGGAGCCAGGAATGAAGTTCTTGGATATCTTATAACTCAACATTGGTTACAGTTTATGGGTGAGAGTGTTAGAGATAGGGACCTGAGACTGTGGCATCGATTCTCATGGCACCATATCAGCTTCTGTTTCAGCTTTAGTGGGAGAGAGGGAGGGGCCATGCCTAAGCATAGAAGGCTAATTTCTGTCCTGTGTCCCCCAGTACCTCCAGAGGTGACTGTGCTCCCAAACAACCCTGTGGAGCTGGGAGAGCCCAACATCCTCATCTGTTTCATCGACAAGTTCTCTCCACCACTGATCAATGTCACGTGGCTTCAAAATGGAAAACCTGTCACTACTGGAGTGTCAGAGACAGTCTTCCTGCCCAGGGAAGACCACCTTTTCCGCAAGTTTTACTATCTCCCCTTCCTGCCCTCAACTGAGGACGTCTATGACTGCAAGGTGGAGCACTGGGGTTTGGATGAGCCTCTTCTCAAGCACTGGGGTACAGAACATCCTTCAGTTCCTTATTTTATGGTTTCCTTCTGTGGTGCATGTGTGTGGTCCTTTGGGACACAGCACAGAGTCCCATTTCATAACAGCTACTGCAATTCTTATTCTTGTTTCTCCCATTATCCAGCTTTCCTTGCTTTCTAAGTTGTAATTTCCTTAATACATTATTCTATTTTCCTCTTTTTAAAATTGATTAATAATTATTTGTTGACTTAGTACCACATTCATTATTCTGCTTTATATTTCCCCAGAGTTTGAAGCACGAACTCCCCTCCCAGAGACAACAGAGAATGTGGTGTGTGGCCTGGGCCTGGTTGTGGGGCTGGTGGGCATCATCGTTGGGACCATGTTCATCATCAAGGGCGTGCGCAAAGGCAGTGCTGCTGACCGCCGAGGTCCACTGTGAGGCACTTCAGGTGGGTTTGCTGTGGTCAGAGCAACACACGTATGAAGTTATCAAAAGAAGGCAACACAGTGGGGGAAAGAACATATGATGCCTTTAAGGGGAAAAATGGGATAAGTCATGGCTCTTGATTTACCTTTGTAGGACAGAATCAGATGTAGCCCCTTTCTAGTATCCCAGAGCTTCAAAGTTCATCATCCCTTCCCATACATGTGCAGCTAGACCTTCAGTCTTAGAAATTATCTCCAGTAATTCACATTTCACAGTCATCTGTTTCACATTAGAATACTGGGTCCTGTGACCTAGGAAAGTTAGCTTCAAGATTTAGATGATTCTTGGCTTATATTTTCTGAGGCAGGCCATCAGTCAGGTCAAAAGAATCCAGAGCTTGGCTCTTTGGGGACTCGTGTAGATTCATTGTAAGAATGCCAATGCCTGTTTTTGCTCCTCCAATCTGAAAAGTGGTGTCAGGGGTGATGAGAGAAGGTAAACTATAGTCTGCTCATTCGTGCTTACTCTGATAGTAGAATATAGCAGTTCATGTTGGAAAGGTTGTATTTACTAGAGGTCAGATCAATATTAAGAGACTTCTAAAGTCAAAGGGCTAAGGGAGAAGGGGAATGAATCTCAAAGTAAGTGCTCAAATATTCATCTTAAGCTCTTTAGAAACTGTGTGTGTCTTTCTACAGGTAATGGGCTTCCTTAGAGAGAAGATCAATGATGAGATTTCTTCTTTAATATCTTTATAAATCTGGCAGTTCTCCAATTATTCACCTCCATGAAGACCACCATTCTTCAGCATTTTCCCGCCGCTTAGTCACACTAGGAGTGGTGACGCCTCTCAGTATTCTATTCCAACTAGTTGGGTGTCCCTGTTTGTTGCCCTTTCCCATATCTGTTTTCCTTCGATTTCCCACAATCTTTTTCCTATCAGCATGCAATGCCTCTGTAATAGGCCCCATGAGACCCTTTCTTTGCTATGGAAACTTTCAAAAGTTTTATGGGAATTCATTGCTTGGGGTTTCTTCAAACAGTGATTGTGACTTTTATGAATACAATAAACCATCAGATGAGTCTTAGGTGAAGTTTTTGGTGTCTGAGCCATTTCTTCACAAGGGCTGGGGAATATATGCAAACCTTTCATCCTCTGTTATTAATAAAAAATATCTAGGTTCATTAGGGTGTGGCCTCACTCAGAGGATGTGTAAGCCATCCAGTTGCTGTGGCCAATCCTCATTTGGACACCTCTACAGTAAGATTTGTTGGGCGGTCTCTACAGGCAACCAGTTCAGAATTTGGTTTTGGTTCTTGAGCCCCCAAGTCAATGAAATATGTGACCCTTCATATGAAGAATCAATGAATCTAGAATGAATCTGAAAGCCTCGGGTTTGGCCTCTGATGACAGGTGAGACAGGTGGTGAGGAGATGAGGTGGAGTGGAGCACAGAAAAGAGGAGGATCCACGTCTGTTACAGAATTTACATATTGGCATCACACATACCAGACTTAATGAGGAATGAGATTAGACACTGAAGATTTTATTTACATAAACATGGATCCCTCTTTCATTACCAGGAGAATGGTCTGACTTACTCTTGGAAACATCTTGCATTTGGAGATGTGACCCTGAGTGGAAAAACTGGGTAAAGGGCTGGGGGATTATGGTGTTAAACAGGAGAAGAGAATGTTTGAGACACAGTGACAGATAAATTGCTCACTTATCTGTGAAACTATTACCTGATGTTTATTTCTAAAATGGTTACCAGAACCTCCCCTAAACCATGAAAACTGATTATTCATGACAATGTGGGAGATTGACATGAAAGTGTTTCTGAAATGAAATACTCTTGGTCTTCATCTTGACTCATCATTTACTGGCTAAGCCACTGATATCTTTTTAAATTAAATATATTGGGGTGAGTTGGATAATAAGATTATATAGATTTCAAGTGTATATTTCTATAATACATGATTTGTATATTGCATTGTGTGCCTACCACCCAAAGTCAAATCATCATCTGTCCCCATATATTTGGCTCCTTTTTCCCATTATTAAAGTGATTAAACAGAGAAGGTTCTTATGCCTTAGTAGCCTACATTAGCAAACCCAAACCTAAGTCAGAATCAATTATATAAATGCACTTGTATCCCAGAAGGTGAAATTTAAGAACAATTGAACAGCCAACTAAGCTTTCCCAAGTAAGGCAGCCACTTTTGTTACAGCCGATCAAATTGTTACCTTGCTTTGTTTCCATTTTCTGTAAAAGCCTTTCCCCTAGCTCCTGTTGACAAAGCATTCTTAACCATTTGTAATTTGATGCTGCCAGATTTAAATCAATGTTTGCTAACATAAACTCTTGTAAATTTTAGTGTGTCCTACTTTATCTTTTAACAATCTTATAAGAGTGACTAGTAAATAGCAATTCTCTGTACCTATGGTTTATAGTATTAAAGCAAAATGTTTAGAAAATTGAAGGTACAAAAGGCCCAGATTTTTCTTTCACATAGCTCCATTTTAATTATAAAATAAATAGATGTACAATAGAGAATATACTAAAAGTCAGACAAATATGGAATAAAAAAGAAAAGTAGTAAATCTATATCTTATCATGTTCAAAAAAGGCATTTTTAAATAGACTTTACTTTTTAGAAAAGCTTTAAGTTGACAGTAAAAATGTACAGAGAGTACAAGAGTTCCCTAACCCTCATCTTCCCCCTGTTCCACTTAAGGTATCTCCTAGTATTAATACCTTGCATTAGTGTGGTACAGTTGTTACAACTGATGGACTGATATTGACACATTATTATTAATTGATGTACATAGTTGACATTAGGATTCACTCTCTATATTATAAAGTTCAGTGGCCTTTGGCAAACGCAAGATGTCATGTATCCACTGTTGCCATATCAAACAGACTAATTCCACCAACCTGAAATCCCCAGTGCTCTCCCTGTGCATCCCTGTTCTCCTCTCCCTGGACCCTGGAAACCAATAATATTTCTACCATTTTCATAGGTTTGCCTTTTCCAAAATATCATATAATTGTATCCAAATAGTAAGCAGGTTTTTCAGCCCAATATAATTCTCTCACTTAGCAATATGTATTTAAGATTTTTCCATGTCTTTTCTATGTCTTTTCATAGCTTAATAGCTTCTTTATTTTTATTACTAAATAATAATTGTGTGAATGTACCATAGCTGGTTTATCCATTCACTATTGAATGATATTTAGGTTACTTCCAAGTTTTGGCAATTGTAAATAAAGCTGCAATAAACATTTGTGTGCAGGTTTTTTGTGTGGACAAACTTTTTAACTCATTTGAGTAAATCCCTGAGACTATTATGACTGCTGAAACATATGGTAAGGGTTTGTGTAGCTTTGTAAGAAACCACCTGAGTGTCTTCCAAAGTGACTGCACCCTTTTGCATTCCACCACAAATGATTGAGTCTCAGTTGTACCACACCCTTGCTACTATTTAGTGTTTTGAGTGTTAGCTAGCAAGCTAGTTTTTAAAAACTTTTTATTTAAACTAATTACAGATTCAAAAAATACAAAGACAGTACAGGGAGATCCTGTGTACCCTTTCACCTATTTTCCCAAATGGTTATATTTTGAGACTATAGTACAGTGTCAAAACCAGAAAACTCATATTGGTGCATTGTGTGCATGTAGTTCTATTCCTATGTTTTATTGTATTTTAGATTTGTGTAACCACCACCGAAATCAAGCACAGAACCGCTCCATTACCACAGAGATCTCCCTCTTGCTACCCTTTCTAGCTACCACCACTGCCTTCCAGACACCATTAGCCTAATACCTGACAACCATCTGTTCTCTATCTCTACAATTTTGCAAATTTGACAATGTTAGATAATCACACAACATGTGACTTTCTGAAGTTGGCATATCTCACTTAGCACAATGTCCTTGAGAGCAATCTAAGCTGCTGTATGCATCAACAGTGACTTCTTTTTTATTGCTGAGTAGTATTCCACAGCAAGGATGTACCACACTTGTCTGTTTACCTATTGAAGGGCACTTTGGTTGTTTCTCATTTAGGGCTATTACAAATAAAGTTTCTATGAATATTTGTGTAAGGCTACTGTGTAAACATGTTTTCATTTCTCTAGCATAAATATAAAGAAAAGTGATCATGTAGTAAGAGTATGTTTGATTTTTTAAGAAACTGCCAAAGTCTTTTCCAGAGGCGCTGTACCACTCTGTGTTCCCACCACAGTGTATGAGGTTGTAACCAGCATTACAGGTATTTTGTGTTTCAGGTGTTTTTACAGTGGTACATCATCATGTTGTTACTTTGCATTTCTCTAATAGCTACTGATATTAAACATCATTCAACATGCTTATCTGCCATCTAGATATCCTCTCATGAAGAAAATGTCTCTTCATGTCTTACGCCAATTTTGAAATTAGATTTTCTTAGCATGGAGTTATGAGAGTCCTTTATATATTCTAGATATTGTACATGCTCTCTGTAATATTTGGGGAGTGCAAATACTTCTCTCTGTAAGTTCTTTTCATTCTTTTAACAGGATTTTTGCAGAAAGTTTATAATTTTAATAAAGCCCCATTTGTTGACTTCATTTCTTTTTATGGATTATGCTTTTAGTGTAATGTCTGTAAAATCACCAGGCCATAGGTCCCAAAGATTTCTTCCTGGTTTTCTTCTAAAAGTTTTATATTTTACATTTAAGTTGATCTAATCTGAGTGAACTTTTAAATAAAGTGTGAGAATGGGTCTCATTTCTTTTTTTCTGTTTTCCTTCTTTATTTTCTCTTTCTTTCTCTTTCTTCTTTCCTTTCCCCCTCCCTTCCTCCCTCCCTTCCTTTCTTCCCGTTTGATTTTACAATAAAAGAGTTTGTTAGTGAAGGAATGAAACAGAGAAAAGGCTACTCCATAGGCAGAGTAGGTTTTTTCTTTTTTCTCTTTTTTTGTGGGGGAGGCTGTTGGGAGTGGGGCATGGATATTCACTTCCTCCAGCACCATTCTTCGGAGTGATCATCCATCCTCCATTCAATTACTTTGCACCTTTGCCAAAAGTGACTTGGTATGGGTCTGTTTCTGGGTTCTCTATACTGGGTCTATCAATCTACATCCATTTCTCCACAATACCCATCAGTCTTGATTAGTGTAGCTATATAAAGGTCTTAAATTTGGTTAGAGTGATCTCTCAACTTTATTCTTCTTTATCAAATTTGCTTTAGTCATTCTGATTTCTTTGCTTTTTAGTATAAATTTTAGAATAATTTTATCTATAACTATTAAAATTATTGTGGGATTTAATTGAAATTACATTAAAGTAAGATATTGGTTTTGGAGGATAAGTGACATCTTTACTATTTTTCAGCTGATGAATATGGTGTCTCCATTTTTAGATTTTTAATTATTTTTATCAACATTTAAGCATACAAGTACTATGTTTTGTTAGAGTTACATTTGTGTTTTTTTTTATTTTTAGTGACTGTAAATGGTATTGTATTTTTAATTTTTGTTTTATGTCTTCATTACCACATACAGAAATGCAAACTAAAATTTTTGGTTGGTCTTGGATTCTGCAACCTTAATGAGCTGCCTTACTAGTTCTAACAGAGTTTTTTGCAGGGGAGGGGGCAGTCTGCGGGATTTTTTTATGTAGACATTCACATAGACTGAATAGGAACAGTTTTATTTCTTCCTTTCTGATCTTCATGTGTTTTGACCACTCTTCTTCATCTTGTTGGTAAAGGAGGGGTGTGTTACCCTAAATAGTACGAGATGGCTGACCCCACAACACCCAAAATAGACAGATGAGTTGATAGCAGTTTGCCAAGTGTTCTTACAGCCTAAGGGAGCAGGACTCCAGGCAGGGTCACTTGGGGGTTGCACTCAGGAACCTACTGAACCAGCAGGGGCTGTGAGAGATGGGCTTTGTAGTAACAAGAGCATGGGGTGTCTCCTGTTTCCAACAGGAGGGTGTTGTTTGTTTGTTTGTTTGTTTGTTTGAATAGTTCCATGGTCTGGCAGGGACTGAGTGAAGGCCTTGGGTTGAGGATCAGTGGAGAGCAGCTGCTCAGGCTGATACAGG